AGCGGTATGTGGACATGATTAAAAACTTTTTCGAACCACCTCTTGAAGAAATGCATCAAGGAAATGTCTGGTTCCAACAGGATGGTGCCACGGCCCACACAGCCCGAGTTTCGATGACAGTTTTGAGGGCAAAGTTCCCCGAAATGCTCATCTCGCTTCGAGGTGATATCCCGTGGGCAGCGCACTCACCTGATCTAACGCCCTGTGAATTTTTTATGGGGATACCTCAAGGCAGAGGTTTTTAAACATCGCCCCACAAACCTTCTTCAGCTGAAGAATGTTATTCGGCAGGAAGTAGTCCAAATTCCGGTGCACATGTTGGAACGTGCAGAGGGGAACTTCAGAAAACGGTTGCATCAGTGCAGAGAGAACGGTGGCCACCAATCTTCAAGATATTTTGTTTAAAACTACATGATTTAAAACTTTAAAGCATGTTCTTTCATTAGCTAAACATAAATTTTATCTATCAGCAATAATTTTTCTTTTATTCGCCTTCAAAAAAATGAAGTTTCTGCGCCCCACCCGTTTCAGCTATATAACGTCTACAGCTGGAATAACCTCGTTAAATAACTGAAGCATTGTACATTGAAGTAACATTGAATGAATGAGTATTTCAGACTTTCTGGTTTTGGATCGGAGAAAGGAAAACAAAATATTCTGCGCAGAAGGGCGTTGAGCGTTCGCCGCATCTAGGAAGTGCATCACGTCTTCATGCATGTTATTGTGATGCGTTATTGAGCCTTTAAAATAGTTTACCTTCGTTATATTATAGAAGCTCTTTTTTAATAATTCTGAATCTTCATAATAATTGCTGTAGGATCTTCCCTAAGGAACTTCTCTCAATAAACATTATTTTACTTATACTGAAACACAATTTACTAGAAAATGTAAAACATCCCATAACACACATAAATGCGTAAATCAACTGCAAAAATCAATGGAAATACACTTACTCTGAAAATATATACACATTTGCATTTTTATATACTATTTATAAGCTATTTGTCCCTGTGCACTAATTTAAGTATTATTTATTCGCAGCGCCAGTTAATATACATTTTTACTGTGTATATATGTTTTAAATATTTGGGTAGCTTTTTAACAGATGATGGAAGGTGTACTAGTGAAATTAAATCCAGGATTGCCATGGCAAAAGCTGCATTTAGCAAGAAGAAGAATCTTTTTACCAGCAAATTGGACTTAAATTTGAGGAAGAAACTAGTGAAATTCTACGTTTGGAGCATAGCTCTGTATGGGGCTGAAACATGGACACTTAGGGCAGTAGATCAGAAACATCTGGAAAGTTTCGAAATGTGGTGTTGGAGAAGGATGGAGAAGATCAGTTGGACTGATTATGTGAGAAATGAAGAAGTGTTAATTAGAGTCAGTGAGCAGAGGAATATCCTACACGAAATAAGAAAACGGAAGGCTAATTGGATTGGTCATGTTTTACGCAGAAACTGCCTTCTAAAAGAAGTTATCGAAGGAAAGATAGAGGGGCGGATAGAAGTGACAAGAAGACGAGGAAGAAGACGTAAGAAGATGCTGGATGACCTTGGGGACAGAAGGGGATACTGTCATTTGAAGGAGAAAGCTCTAGATAGCATTAAATGGAGGAACTGTTTTGGAAGAGACTGTGGACCTGTCGTCTTGACAGATTACTGATGATGATGATGATGATGATGATGATGATATATGAATCACTAACTGATATTATATGAATCATAATATAACGGTAAAACTTAATTTATTATAATGAGATTTAATACTTGTATATAACAATATAGCTGATCACAGTGGCCGCGCGATCTAAGGCATGAACTGTCTTCCCTCGCTTGAACGCTGGGATCATGGGTTCGAATCCCACTCAATGCGGGTATGTTTGTGTGTGCGCTTTTTTCTGTGTTTGTGTTGTTCCGTGTGCAGGCATTGCGACTGGGTGATCTCCCGTCCGAGGAGTCCTACCGTCTGTGTAAAAAAACATTACAAAACTGAACAAGGGCCCAGCATAAGGGCTGTAGGGACATAAATGAATGGATTAACATTACAAAGAAAAGACTTATTTAATTTAAGAAGTTTGAAACGCACGCCCGTTTGCCATATTGCTTATGTTAGACAAATCTATAAGCGAAGTAACCTAGAAAACTTATTGACCTGAAGTTAGAAACGTAATGAAGCAATACGTTGTAGAGAAATGAGCCCGTGTTTGTGTAACATATCTTAGACACACGATTCCTTTTGTACTAACAAATAAAAATGTATTATAGCCAGATACTAACCTTGCCTTAACTCATGCATTTTCTGATCGCAATTTTTTTTTCCTTGGCACTACAGCCCCAGTGGGCCTAGGCCTACCTCCATGAACTTCTCCGTTCACTCTTATCGCAATTATGAAAGTAAAATATGTAGAATTTAATTATATTATATAAGATTTGAGGCTCTCACCCAAATGGTTATGAAGAGTTCTGTCTTCTGGGATATACGACATTTAATCCGTTGAAAATAGCCGATAGTTCGGAGGAATACATTGCCTCCATCTTCAGAGTTGAAGAAACTAAAGTGAAAGCAAGTGGCAAGCAGAGCTGTTATTCATTGACCCTGAGGATGGAGGCGATATATTCCTCCGAAATATGGGTTGAATTTCAACGGACTACATGACTTTGTGTCCCAGAAGATAATACTCTTTTAATAACATTGTTAGGAAGCAAAAAAAAAATGGGTATGGAATGCAGATAATTAAAAATAATGACTAATGGAAAGTTCTTGTAAACGGAAGTAATATTTCTCATTCAAACTCTGAACACAAAGCACATGCTCACTGAGTACTGTACCTAACTCCGTCCCAAGCACCTCAGGCTTACAGCGTGTGAGGTAGGCTTGTATATCCCGAGAAGAATATTTATTGGAACGAAGGGGGCTATTTGAAGAGAACTCTTGACAACAAGGCAATGCAGGTGTACTGTTCTAACATAGAAATTCACAAATAAATCGCTGTCCAATACTACAGATTCTAAACGTCTTTGTCTTGCAGCAACCGACCAGGCAGCAGAGCAACTGTGGAAAGATGGACACACGTAGAGGTGCACAGGGGACAGTAGAATGGAGGTTGGACACGGAGGAACAAAACAAAGGAATACCAGTCAGCAGTTATTTGATGTAGAGGCAGCGAGCTTGGACTATGACAACAGCTGCTAGGAGAACCGAAGCCAATTCGTTAGATTGGAAGGCGAGAAAGGATGACTTACACGATCTAATTTGCATTAAATATTTTAGGATACATTCCACAGAAATAAGTTATATAACACGTACTGAATTACTTTGTGTTGCAGTAGATTAACCGTGGATATTCAAAGATAGCATATAGACCAACGCCTGCAGATATATATATATATATATATATATACCACGTGTATGCATGCATGCATAGAAGCATGTTCTGTATAAAGTACACTTGTACTTCAGCACAGATGTGTGTGTTTTAAATTAGAATCTAAGAAAGAACGACTTACATGACCTGATTTGCATTTAATATTTTGATCAGATTCAAGAAAAACAAGTTCTGTATTGTAAGATTTGAGGCTTTCACGGCGGTGACTATGAAGAAAATAGTCTTCTGGGATTTGGCACCGTGTATATGTGGTGTTAACCGACGTTTCGGAGGAACGTATCGCCTCCATCTTCAGGGTAGAAGAAAAAATATAAGAAATCTGCAAGCGAAGAGACCGTGAGAACCGGTAAAAGCAGACTGTGCAGACAGTCTACCCTGAAGATGGAGGCGATACGTTCCTCCGAAACGTCGGTTAACACCACATATACACGGTGCCAAATCCCAGAAGACTACTTTCTTCAAGTTCTGTATTGCCCGCTGCATGTTATTGTACTCCAGGAAACTCTGATTTGATTTTCAAAGACATCAGATTGGGAATATAGATGTACTCGCATAGGCCCCTATGTGCTTAAGAATGAATTATCCGAGTGCAGAGGTCATTATTAGATGTACAAGCACTTGTATACATACAGGTCTATAATAAATACTGCACATATGCACTGTGGCACAAGCCGGAAGTTCACTTTCTATTTGCTTCTTCATACCGCTCCTAATGTGGTCCTTGTGGCGCTGTAAGATCGCCGTATCCTGAGGACAGTTTCACTCTCATAGCGAACGTAAGTATATATGAAATTACAAGCCAAATTTCCGTGTACTTACCTACTCTACAGTACTGACACTCGCAACGGTTTAAGATTATTCTTATTTTCTTCAGTTCTGTCTTTATTTACATATCCGCAGTATTATCTCCCGGGCCACGCAGTAGCATGGTTAGTTGAGGCACTATGCTACAAGCCGGAAGGTCGCGGGTTCGATTCTCAATGAGGTCTTTTGATTTTTCAATTGACATAATCTTTCCAGCCTCACTGTGACACTGAGTTCGACTTAGCCTCTAACAGAAATTAGTACCAGGAATTTTCATGGGGGTAAAAGTCGGCCGGCGCATAAGGCGGGAAACCCCACCGCCATCTGTGAGTCGATTGTCTAGAAAATGTGGAAGCCTTGACGTCTCACAAAAGTATGGGCTTCCACGGCCTGTTACAGGGATAGATTTTGTATGTTATACATGCGCGTATATTCAAAACCATGAAGAACAGCTTTATTGAGCAGCGACTGATAGTTTCTCAAATGAAGAGATGGTTTTTACTAACCTTATAGTTAGCAATGACCTTTAGTGCTGACTATATTAAACCTTAGCCGGTCACGGTAGCCGAACGGTCTAAGGCATGTACTGTCTTCGCTCGCTTGGAAACCGGGATCGTGTGTTCGAATCCCACTCAGGGCATGGATGTTCAGTTTGTGTGTGTGCGTTTTTCTGTGTTTGTGTACAGCTAGAGGCCTTGCGACGAGCTGATCACCCGCCCAAGGAATCCTACCGAATGTGCAAGATCTAGAAAAACCGAAGTGAACGGAGAAGTTCATGGAGGTAGGCCTAGGCCCACTGGGGCTGTAGTGCCAAGAAAAAAAAATATTAAACCTCATATTTCGTTAACCAGAGAATGTTAGATAATTTTGATCACTGTTCTCCCCTCAAGCCTGCATATATAACCTCTACACAGAAAGAAATAAACTTTCCTCGAGATGACAAATTTTTATTATTGAGAATTCAAAACATTCCTTTCCGTTATCAGACGCTATAAAATTGACGGGATCTGTAGGCGGGTCCTCGAAATCTCTCTGTCTCTCAATACCGATAACGGAGTCTAATGCATAGTTTTTTTACATCATATTTTACAATTATACTACATGAGATTGAAATTAAATTTTCATGTAAATTGAGTAATCTTAAATTCGAAAATTACTTCACATTTTAATTTTCTTGTTCTGACGGGAAACGAAGATTTCACTATCTTCATGTTTGTGTGTCTACATTGTGGCGTATAGACCCGTTGCTAAGCGGTGATTCTGTAATCTGCGGCAGTTGCTAGGTAACGCCCGCAACATACGACCGGGTTATGAAACCCATTTCTAAGCAACGGCTCGCAAACACATTCCCTCAGAAACGAGACACATAACAATACAGTTACAATGGAAACGAGTGTGTGTGTGTTTTGTTGTCCGTGCCAAGAAGTTATCTCGAAGACAATTAAGTTGATTGCAGACAAGGGCTCTGGCAAAGGACAGACCCATCCTCTCGTCAGAGAGAGCGCTCCCACAAAAAGAAGACCGTAACTGTCAAACAGTAATAAATATCTGGTCATAAACCCCAAATTTTATTCGACACCAAGATTGAATAACTGACTGACTGTCAGTCACAATGTGACTTTGACTGCGAGTTTGACTAGTTAGTTAGTTGGTGGTCAGGCGGCACCATAGCTCAAGCGGCTAGTCGCTGGTTTCCCACCGCGGCGGCCCGGGTTCGATCCCGGGTCTTGGTCAAGTGGAATTTGTGGTAGACAAAGTGGCGCTGGGGCAGGTTTTCTCCAAGTACTTCGGTTTCTCCTGCCAATCTTCATTCCACCAATTGCTCCACAATCACCCTCACCTATCATCTGGGGCTGGTACAATAGGCCAGAAGTGGCCGCAGTACAAGGGACTTAGTCCAACCCCCACTAGCAATAAAAAAAAGTTGATGGTTGGCAGTTCAGTTGAGCGAAGCGAAGTGAAGTAGCCGGTTGGCGAGTTAGTGTGTTCAGTTGCCAGTTGTCAGTTGAGAGGCAGGTCGGTACGGGGGGCTGTGAAGTAAAGAGATAGTTCCAAGGGTGCGGCTGTTTTAAAGAAGATTTTATCGATGATATTTGGAGTGTATAATTTAGTGAGACCGTTATAGTTCCAGTGTTAAATCCGCTGTCAAGAAACGGTTAGAGGAGATTGTAATAGACTGAGGATACTAATTTGTGCGTGTCAGTGAACTGTAAAATGTAGCTAAGAGTTGTGTGTACAAGTAAAAATAAATCTGATCCATATCCCGTCTATAGTCACAACCCCGAAATAAGTGACCAATCATCTAAAAATGGCACTACATTCAGCTACTGAAAAGTCGTGTATGTTAAATAAGCCTATAAACATCGAATGATGTGACAGGCAACTCAGGTGTCATACATCAGTGTTACAAACCTTCAGAAAATAAACAATTTTAAGAAAGTCTACTAACGAAATCAAGGCGTACATTTTCAATTTATACTACTCTGCAGAAAAATAATTTGAGCGTTATTTAGATAATATATTGATGCGTTTTTATATTTACATTCGATATGAATAAAGCAAAGAAATTATTTGGGAGATAAACAACGTATTAAATTAACATTATTATATAAAGTGTAACTAACTCCGTGGCCTGTAGTCCGAAAGTAAACTGTACCGATCGAGCGACCGCGGCTTGTCGGTTAAGTTAGTGTCAACTTTTGCGTATAGAGGGTGCCGCGTGGCCATATAAAGTGTAAGATTTTTAAAATTTAAAGAATCATATATGCATTCTGTCGTAAATTACCTTGTATTGACATACACGCTTTCTCTTTTGTGGGTTAATATCATATAAATCTAAGCTGAAATTTCAGAATTAGCTGATCGTGTACTTCAGACGCTGAATGAAGCTGTCTGTGCAGAGCAGTGCATGGAATGTTACGTGCAATCGCCCCTAACTTTCAATTAGAATTGCTGTCATTTTAAACAAATTTGTTCGTGTATAACAGGAAAGCTGAGACAAATCTAAGGAGCAGCTGTGTAGAAACAAAGGTTAAAACATAAAGACAGACAAAACAAAAGAGCTGAGAAATGCAAACAACTGAATTGTAGGAATGTGGAGAATTCCATATTAACTGATGTGTTGTAAGCAGCATACAAAAAAAAAATGTGATAAATTAGGTGGAATGCGATGCAAACGATTAGAAAAAAAAATCCTCCAGGACTTAAATGCATGAAAGACTACGTCCTTGGTATGACGCCAAACATAATTCTAATAAACGCATTTAGCTACTAGAATAAGAAGTGGAATGTTACGGAACCAAAAGAACACAAATTTTGAAAGGAATTTATTGCTAACTTCATATGACCAAGGCCGCTTTAAAACAATGATGGGTTCTGGGAAAATCACGATTTTAGGGTCATCTTTCTTTACTTGTGTTTAGTCAAAGCACAGCTGAGTTAATGTCGTATTTTAGCGTCCTGTTGCACTGATTTTCATCCATGATATGTATACAGTTGCCGTCTTGTAGTGCACTCAATTTCACTTGTTATTTCACAACATGTTTCGGCAACATAGTGCCATCATCAGGTGCTCCATTTACGTTAATCTATTGCATTGCTTGCCATTACGTCATTGTAAAATTATTTAAAAAATATTTAAAGATATTCGTCAATTATAATAAAATTGTATACACTAAAATCTTGTTAAGATATTCATCTTATATGTCCTAATTCAAACCCGCGCATGGTTCCTCCACACCGGCAGCCAAAAAGGGAACACACATCACGAGACACGATATACACGGAGTATAACAGGAACGACTCCCATAGTGGAGGAACCATGCGCGGGTTTGAATTAGGACATACAAGATGAATATCTTAACAAGATTTTAGTGTATAAAAATTTATTATAATTGACGAATATCTTTAAATATTTTTTAAACAATTTTACAATGACATAATGGCAAGCAATGCAATAGATTAACGTAAATGGAGCACCTGATGATGGCACTATGTTGCCGAAACATGTTGTGAAATAACAGGCTTAATATCGGTCACAAGACTCCGAATTTAGTTTGAAGGCGGCACGATGTATACCGGTTTTAATGAACCAGTAATATGCTGACCGAGGGGACAATGTAATTTCTTTTATTGTT